CCCTATTCACATAACAGCTATTGCCTCTTCTTCCCAAGTGAATGATTTCCTTCAACAACTAATTTGGAACCAATCCAGTGAGCAGATGCAGGTACCATTTGGTTAAAGCTCTTCTACCCCAATATCATGCTACACTGCATCAGAAACACAACTGAACTGCACGAAAATTTGCTTGCCTATGCCAGAATTTTTTTTTATATAGTGTTTTCTAGAAGCCGTTATTTTAGTTCTGCGCTAATGAACAATTATATTTTTCAAAAATTACTATTTAAAATAGCCTTACCTTCCTGAACTGCATTACTAGATTCATGAGACTACTAGTGGTGGTCTGTGCTTGCTGAGTAGTGCCCATTGAAGACTGCAGGAGGTCATCAATAGAGATTTTGTTTTTCAGAGCTTGGTACAGTAGCTTCTGTCGACTTGTCTGCTGGCAGTACATAAGAACTTCAATCTGCAAAACAGTAATGAAGATTTAGCCTTTTCTGTCTCTGAAATGGAGGATGACCATAACAGTAACACACAAAGCAGTTATGTTTTCCTTAAGAAGTGTTTCGCTCTTTCTCAAAAATACACATATAGGCAGTTGCATTCATATCTGCCTTTCAGGATCCAACCTGGGAAGGACTTGAATGATAGGTGTGTTTTAGGTGGCTTAGGTAATGTTGTAGGAGACAGACCTTTAAAAGTATGTAAGCACAACTAAGTAAACAGATAGGCTCTTAAGAAGCTCTGAAAACATTATATCTGCAGCTGATCATCTTAAAATCTGCTATTCTACTATCCTACTGTTAAAGTGCTACCCATTTAGAGGGTAAACAGGTGTCAGAAGCCCACAATAATGACAGGTGCATCACACAACAACAATGTCTGTGGGAAGTCCTGGTTTTGAAAATAAAAAACACATCAGAACAAAGCAGAAGTCTCAGCCAGTGGTCCCAAAACCTGGGACCTTTTGACTCAGTTCATCCAGTATTGCTAACATCCACATGGAATTAAGAGACTAACAAGAGAGAAGAGTATGGTGTTGCCACTATGCATTTCTTGCTCTGTACAAGCAAGCAAAAAGAATCCTAAATCCATGCCAAATCCTTCACAAAGGCAACTGGAGATGTTTATCATCAGATTATTGCTGTAACAATCTCCTTCACTTCAATTAGTGATATTCTTCTCAACCTAATAAGTCTTAAACATTTTTTATTTGTAACTGTTAACAAAATGTTTTTCCTAAAAGAAAAGTTTATTAATTAGGAGTTCTCCAGTTACACTCACATCTAATGAGACTGCTGGGACATTGTGCCAGAAACTGAAGGTCCATAAAAGGTCGACAATCAAATTTCAGGTATGCAGACCAGCAAACAAGTTTGCAAAAACCAGATTAGAGAACAGAGTTATGACAATAAAGTTGAAATACTCATTCCAGATAAATATTTTTTCTCACCTTATCTGACAGCTCATTTTCCACATCCTTCTTGATTCTTCTCAACATGAAAGGCTTCAGGATCATGTGCAAGCGGGACAGCTGGTCTGAAATACAGGGAATGGGGAAGAAGGAACAATTACTTCAAAGAAGAAAACTATACAGTGTTCTACTGCAAACTAAGTCCCTTACTGCTCAGCCATTTCCTCCCACATGAGTTCTTACAGCACGCAGTTGGTATTTCTCTGTTGATTTTTCTTTTTTAAAAATTTAAATTTAAAAATGAGTGCCGAGCTACACTGTTTAACTTACAAATCTAAAGATCTGCTTCAAAGAACGAACTTCTAAAGCATTTTATGTGTTCTATATTCCTCTGGGCTGAACAATATGGGCTTAAATTTAACACTCGCTATTAATGAAGAAGAAAGTTTCAGATGAAACATTGCTAATTCATGAAAAGAGATCGTTACAGTTTTAAGTCTCACCCCCCCAAATTACAGCATCACAAGAACAGGGCACACTACCTTGACAGGCAACTGCAGTCCTTACGTTAACCCATAAAAACAAAGTTCTGGGGTTTTGAGAACTCTTAAAGCCTTTACTTTTGTGACAAGTTCCAACTGTGCTGTGTTCTACTCCAATTACAGATCAGCTGTTTAACCTAGCTAGATTTTTCCACACAACCATCCCCTAAAATTTACTGTGAAGATTATTTTTAAAAGGAATTTTTATGCTTTTCTTCTGAAGCTCAAAAGGTGTTTAGCACTTCGTGTCATAACTTTTATGTCTAGAGCTTGTAACACACTCAGGAGATGTCCAAGATGATGTGCTCTGTAGAAACTTACAAATACTTAAAATATTTGTTCTCTTATGTTTGGGAAGGAGGAGGACTGGAGACAAGTGGCAGACCAACATTTTCAGGACATGTTTTCCTATTCATTACACACGCTACATTACAGTCAGAAACACAAACTGACATAAAATACAGACAAAAATCCATAACATTCCAATCCCACTATGCACGCTCTGCTTTAGATGACATTTCTCATACAAAAACCAAGAGATAAATTTACATATTAGTAGTTGGAAACAGATTTTTATTTAACAGGCAACAGATTTTTAATATAAAAACTACGGCTGTTACACACTGCACTCACTCTCATCAATGGCGGATTTGTTCTCTGCATGGCTCTCTATGTCCTTAGAAAACCACTCATTGAACTCTTCATGGGAATCAAACAGCGTAGGCATGATAAAATGCAGCAGGGCCCACAGCTAAAAGGAAATGAGAAAACAGTAGATCAGCACAAGTCACCCTATGGTGGACAAGGTAACCGGGGATCCCAAAGCCCCGCAGCTCTTTATGAGCAAAATCACTTTGCTAGATCAGACATGGCAAAATTAAACAAAAACCCAGCTGCATCCTCTTCCCCCTGCACCGACAAACGCCAGATATATCAACTTAACAAAACACCATCAGAAAGCAGTGAGAAACACAGCACAATTATTTCAGCCAACAGAAGGAAAAGCCACAGGAATTAGACTTCAACCTGTAATCTAGGTATTACTAACCATCAGGTATCTTCAGTTTTATTTTTATTTGAATGTGGGGCACACTTCCAAATTTTCCCCTCCCAGAGCTGATCTCACATTTGTTTGCCAGTGGTTTGCTACAAGCATGATCCCACAACCACACAAATACAACTGGTTTCTCAACTATTCACAAATATTTAGTATATATTCTTGTTATAAAGAAAAGTCCACTCTTGTGAGCTCCAAAATACCTCAGCCATCGTGTTCTGGATTGGGGTCCCAGTCAACAACAGTCTGTTTCGACACTGGAACTGTAGTAGGATCTTCCAACGAACACTGATGAAAATAAAATTAAGACAAATTATTAGAACTGTTTTTTTGTAAAAGGATACGAGACATAAGGTATTTTAAGACCAATTGCTTCCAGTGACCTTCCCAAATGATTTTTGGAGGCCACTGGGTAAAACTATCACAGTTACTCCCCAGGCTTTCAAAAGACAATTACAGGAAGTAGCCTTTTACAAATTACAAAGAAATGTACATAATTTATTTTGTTTTTCTAGGTAGCTTTTTACTCATTTTTAATACAAATGCTTGGATACTAATAAAATCTTATGATCAGAATAATTAACCTCCCAAAAGAAACAGTCACTGTGAATCAGAACATCATGCATTTTTCAGACTTTCCAACACTAAGTCTATGGGCTACTGTGGCAGGAGTGCTGAGCTATACATTACAATCCTCTTAGAGGAGCAGTTTCCAAAGAATGCTGAAGAGACAGAGCAGTCAGAGTAAGTCGTCATCTAAAGCAGTCTTCTACTTTCTGTGTACAGTGGCAACTTGGACAAAGGTTATGGGAAAGCAATTACAGAACTAAAGACGGACAAATCCATTACTTGAAATCAAACAGAAAACTTTCTGGCACAGTCTTATGACAACTATTGGGCTTTATTGCAGCCAACAGTATTCATGGGGTTCTGACCTTCATTTGTGCCTGGAAGTGCCACTGAAGGAGGAATCAAAATAATGCATTTAATGGAGACAGTATAAGCAATACATGTTAAAGACTACAGACTGTTCACTAGGCAGAATTCTGGGAGCAGTCTGTAAAGCAGACGAACAGCATTTCACACTGTTTTGTTTAACTGTCCTGTACTCCATGCAAGCTTCTGCTCCACAATTACTTTTTAATTACATTTTACATATTTGGAGAAGGAAAATCTAAATGCAAAACCCTAGTGGATCAATCCAGCATCAGAGTGTTATACGGACACCGAACTAGGTTAGGCACTTAAAGGGTCCTACATATGTTAATTTTAACTTCTATCAATTTGTGTAAACTTGATGTTTTCTTAATATTCCTTCAAGAGGTTGATACAGAGGGAAGATTCTGATTCCAGTTAATTTATTACCTGGAGCTACTCTTAAGTGCTTGCGCTTCATCCAGCACCATATATTGCCACTTCACTCGCTGGAAATATTTCACATCCTGTACTACTAGCTGATAACTGGTAATCACCACGTGGAAAGGAGCATCCTGAGTATACAGTGTCTTCTATAACCATAAAATAAGAAACAAATGTCCATATAAAGTAAATACATTGTGAAGAGTTCACTTGTATATACTGTAATTTCAGACTTCTGTTTCATAAGCTTTTCTCATTATTACCGCATTTTTCCGCAGCTGATTTTTTAAATTAATTACAGCACAGTTATTTAACTGGTGGATCTGGACTTCAGCCCATTAGTCCCTGAACAATTTCAGATGCTTCTTAACGTGCCAGACGAGACCCAGGCATTGAACCCTACAAAATGCTGTTGTTAAATCAGGAACAATCCAACAGGCCTGCAGAGATGCTAGACTTGGGCATCCTGAGTTAGGCTACTCAAAATAAACAGTCCTTGACACTGAAACTTTCTGCTTTATTTACAGAGCTCTAGTTTCTTCAACTGAACTTCATACTGCCCTGAACTGCATTGCTCTTCTACCTCGTTATCTTAATGAAAATGCTACTACATAGATGAAGAAACAGAACTCTCTATCCACACATCATTTAGCTTGGTGGCATGTGGCAACAGTTTCTGGTTTACTCTGCAAAAATAACAAAGATGGTCAAAGTACATGGGCATGCTGGTATTACCTGACTCCAGAACTTCCTGATGACCTTTCGATCATGGGGATTTCCCCAGTAAGGTAGCACCTGGAACAGTACCAAAGTAGAAAGACATTATTTTCAAATAAAGACATACCTGCCCTAGAATTCTATACTATGTAGTCTACAAATGAGAAAGACAGACCTCTTTCTCAAAAACAACAAAAAGGGAAATCATCTTTCTCAACCCAGAAAAATCAGAAAGCACTTAAAAACACTTAAAAGCAGAGCATTCCAGGCAAAGCTATCAATCCACTTAGGCCTACTACAAAGACTAGATCAAGATATGTCAAGAATTTCAACATGCCCAGTAGCATGTTAGGCTTTCTAGTCTGTTTTTTCTAAACATTAAGAATGATACTTTGCTTATGGCAGAAAGAGGTCTGCCCTCAATCGCTACAGTTAACCCTACAGGACTAGTGGGCTCATTCTCCTGTTCAACATTTCCTGTTGTCCCACTGGTTTTGTATTTCAGAACTATCCCCTAAAATCTGAGATAAAGTTAACATCTGGTCTGGCCATTTATGGCTCAGAATTTCATGGGTCTCGTCACTCAGAACAGATCTTTCCAGTGCACGGAAACCAGTTACTGGTCAATAATCTTGCACTGCCATCTTCAGTTTGATGAAAGGACTACACTCAACTAAGGCAGAAAGTGAGGAATACTGGTTTCTGAGGTTGTGAAAGGTCTTAAACATCTCCGTCCTTCAACTGATAAACTTCAAAGTGCCTTTAGTTGAATATTCTTCCAAATGTTCTGAAACAAAGATGCAAGTAAAAACCCACCAGATTAACCAAAAAGTGAGTTGCCTTTTAGATTATATATTCTGCATGGGCTTGCAGAAATTAATTCACTACACACTTCTGTCTGATTAGAAGCATTTGTGTATGATTAGAAGCAGGAACAAAACTGTTTGAAAAAGATCGATCAAAGTTGTAAACACGTAACAACCAGAAGTCTAGAAAACTTATTTTTAAAACATGGTCTGTTCCATGAATGAGGTAAATGTTGTTAGGCAATAAACCCAAAGAACAGTTATATAATGACAGAAACAGTGTGTTGTTTGCTTTTTTTAACCAAAAAAGGGAAAACTATCTTTTCACAAGCACCTTGACTGCATTTTGAAACTTTTTCTGTATTTCATTCATGAGGAGAAAGCATAAACAGTTGCTCACCTATTCTATAACAATGAACTAATTAAAGGAAATGAGAGAAAGTAAGTAGAACGACCAACTGCTCTAATGTTTTCTATACCAGGTTTTTAATCAGGGCATCTATTGTTTTAGGCTATACATATAGATAAATGGATTATTTTTCTTTTTTTTTTTTCCTTAAAGTAACTCCCCACTAACTTAAACATTTCTATTTCTTCATCAGTTTCTTTGAAGTCTCAGTAATCCAAATTTATCCCAAAACATAAGCCACTTGAATCATCCAGTACTGAACTACGTTCTAGCACAACTTTTCCTCCTATAGTTACCTCAAACTGTACACCATTAGAACCAACATATGGTCTCATCAGGAATCTGCGGAGCAAGCTATTTAGTAAAATGTAAGTCCTTTAATACTGCCCTACTCCAGCTCAAGAAATCAAATATTACTTATAGTAATACTTCCAAGTCTTTCCCTCCAGCTTTTTAAGTAGCAAGACATTCAAACCATTAGCGTGGTATACTGGCTACTTATAACTGGGTATCTTTTACTGTTCTTACATGTTCTCTGTAAAACAGAAAATCAGATGTTTAAAAACACCCTGATCAATATCTCTTCAAATCAAAGGTTACTACGTTAACAACTCACATATTTAAACTACAATCTGTTCTTCTTTGGAGATGTAACTGCAAGTTTCTGACACCTTTGTCTATCTTTAATTCTAATATTTCAGCACTGTTTCAGCAGTACACATTCTTTTCAAATCTTTCTTTGCAACACTCCAATGTTTTTCGGGGGGGGTAAGGAAGTAACTTGTTTTTCAGTAACTGATCGTTCCTTGCTTTCTACATAACTATGTTTTCACATTCATAATATACCTGAAGAACTCCATTTATTTTCTTCTGATCTTTTTGTTCTTACCTATTTGTGCCTCACTTCTCTCTTTTTCTTGATTACTGCTCATACGTCTATGGTTCTTCCATTTTTCTGTGATAACAACTGCATTCTCACTCTAATCTGTTTAAAGTTCAGTTTTGTTCACAATACAATCTTTATCCCACACAAATCAGTATGAGTGACTGAAAACATTGCTCTAACCCTAAAGACAGTACATAAGACTGAAATATTATTCTTTTATCTGCCGCCAGGCCCACAAATTAGAACTGAACATCCACTCCCTGACCCACTTCAGTTCCTTGTTGAGGAGGTGTCTTCAAGCTGTTGCAAAAGGAAAATCACATGATTCAAGTAAGAACATTTTTAAACCCTAGATAATTGAATGCTCCAGAAAAAAACAGGATGACAGAAAAAAGTATCAGAATCAAGCCCATTACAGAGTTTCAAATTTCAAGGTAATTAGGCATCCAGATGGGGCAAAGAACTCAGAAGAACAAAACAGTTTGCTTTTGAGAAAACAAAGAATTTTCTTGCACATGCTTATTACCTTAAATTTAGGTACAAATCTGGCAAACTCCTGGTGCCAGTTGTTAAGTGTAGAGGCAGGTGAAATTATTAAAAAAGGTCCCCAGATGTTCTCTCTCTGCAATATACACATTAAGAAAAAAAGACATCCAGAAATCAATTGGGGGAAGGGACACAGAGACCATTTGATACAGCTTTATGACAATTAAATGACAGTGACTATGTAAGAGAAGGAACTATATGGAACGTAACAAAACTTTCTCCCAGCACAGCAGGGTGACACAGAATCAAACAGAGCAGATCCAACGTTTGACTAAGACTTATTTCACACAGCAAACTAGAACAACCAGCACCATTTCAATCTGGCTTGCTCCTTTGTTTCTGAAAGTTGCCACCTTGACATTACTAACAGCCCCTGTCATTTTCGAGGAGGAAAAGAACTTCAGGTGGCACTGGCAAGCTTTGCTCCACCACATCACATTAGAAAGCCACTTGGTGAGTAGCAAAGTTGGGCCACTACTGAATTGGTAGTTACAAGCTGGCCTGCAGAAGGGAGAGCCAGAAAAAACAAAAGCCCTCTGCAGGCTTCCAAAAATCTCACACTGCAGTCTAACCGTTATCCCTTCTGGGGACAGATGAGGTCAAGAGCCTTTGGCTCTGCACACTCTTCCACCATCGTGGCTGACAGTAAGAGTGAACTGGTGTCAAAAGGAACATAAACAAATGCACATAATTGTCATTTGGTCACTACTGAAGCTAGTTCTGCTCTCAGTATCACTCGGTTAATATCTCCTATTTAAGGCAAGTGACTGGATGGCAAGCAAGACTTTTTTTTTTAAAAATAAAGGTAGCTATTTCTGCATAAAGATGTAAACTCCTGTTGCTTTTTCTGTTTTGTCTGCCTGCCCTGGCATAGAATAACAACTATGCTTCCTGAAAAAAACCCAAGTTTTTTGGAAATATGGAAATGCATGCTGATTGCCATGAAGCTCTGAATATGGGCTTCGTTTCTATAAGTCTCTCTCATTTGTAAAAGTCAATGAACCATGAAGTCTACAACTTGTTCTCTTATCAGGCTTTCACATTAAGTGCAAGTAAAAAGATACTACTCTGTGAATAAACGAAAACTCTATTTTTATTTATATACATATACATATATATATACACCCTTTATTATTCACACACATACATATTCATATACACACCCTTTCAAAGGTGTAGCTTTAAAACAAAGGGAAAGGACATACCTAAAACGCCTTTTAAGACATTTAAGCTTTATAACCTAGAATTCATTTCAAACATGTGAAAAGCATGCATCTTCTTACCAAGCATACCGACCAGGAATAAGACATAATCCACCTACCTCAGCCAGATGTGCAAGGAGAGCGATACTTTGTACTGTTTTACCCAGACCCATTTCATCTGCCAGGATTCCATTGATGCCCTGCAAAAGATCCATAAATCAAAACCTTTCACCTTACTACTTTTTACTCCATACAGGACTAGCAGAACAGTTTATGGGGATTAGCCCCAGTGTAACAACTCTGAAACACGTTATTGTCTCTTACATCTTCTACTAAGAGATAATTTATCTCAACTGCACTTTCATTCATTTCTTGGGCTGATTTTTTTTCCTCAGCCTGTCTGTACTTTGCAATGTACCACTGGGTATAGACACAAGTACCAGGCTGCCAGCAGTTCACCAGCTGACCAAAGCTTGAAACAGCATGCAGCTCTGAGCAGCAAAAGTATAATCTAAGTGATAAACAGTTGTATAAACACCCACATAAAGAATCTTGAACTTAACGCCCCATTCAAAGTTGTTATTTCATAAATATTCAAGAATACTGATAGGTGGCTTACATAATAGTTTCCTTTCTTCTAAAGACATTACAGATTTAGTATATGTGGTCTATTTTTAAAACCATTACATTTTTTTGGACCAAGTTAACTCTAATGACTTAAGAACTTACAAGATGTACTACGATACCTGCTCATATAGGTTGGCCAGCCAATTCATGCCTTTCAGTTGGTAACCTTTCAGTTTTCCATTGAAAATAGTAGGCTGTGGAATATCTTCTCCTGCCCGGATAGATGGGTTTGCTAAACTGTAGCTCTCTCCAAAGCCAGTACCAGACTTGTTAGCAGCCCGTAAGGCAGCTGCCCGACTCTCCTTTGCATCTTCATCAAATGATCTGGTCTAAACAGGAAGGGGAAAGTATGCGTAAGATGATGAATGTATTAATTTATCAAGAAACGGTATAGTGAAAGGCTTTGCACTTCACATTAAGACACAGGATGTCTGCCAGAAACTAGCAGAAAACAAGCCTGTTCCTATAGCCCAAAACTTTATAGTCTGGTTTTCTATCTGTTTAGCACAGAAAGTGGTGATGGAATTAAATTCAGATTTGGCACGCAAGATTAAACAAAGCTATTGACCTGGTTGCTATGAAAGATTCTGGTTCTGTGGCCTCTACTAATTACTCTTTCTCTCCTACTTCAGGGATCCAGAAAACACATACCTGGGCCTGATGAATCTGGTAAGCATCCTCAGCATTCTTCAGAGCTTGGGCCTTGTAATAGTTACTATCTGAAAACAACATCTCCACATTAGAGCTCTGCAGCAGTAACCACCCAAATTAACACACAGATAAATTCCAGTAATTATGGTAGCGCTTCTTACACAAAAGGATTTTGTGCCTGAAATTGTACATTTGCACAATAATGTGTAGTGTACAGTAAATTTCAAGTGCACAGGAAGGATTATAGATGAATCACTTACCATAATCCTCTTGGGTGATGTTGACCACTACTCCTCCACCAATATCAATCTGTCTTTGGGTAGAGCTGTCTTCCAGTTTGCGCAGGATTTCCTCCTGTATTCCATCATGTCCGATATCTCGTTTACGACTCATAAAATGGGCATATAATTCAGTTTGTGTGATCAGGAAGTTAAGTTTTCGCTGCTGCCTCTTAGCCTAAGAGAAGAGCATTTACAAAAACAGATGAAGGGGGGAAAAAAAAGCCAGGATGAAAGTTTAATGTTAAAAATATCATTAAAAAAATTAAATCTAATAATATCCTAACAACAAATCTATCTAGATTACATTATGCACATCACTGTGATATCAAAATGCTAGAATAACAGTTGCACATAAGAACACCAACCACCATCATAAACATCTATATTAAAATCTAATGTTGTTGTAAATGAAAAGTTCTTTTAAATTCAGTAATCATGGCAAAGAACACCATAATCTAATAAAAGAAAGTTTAAAAGTTTTGTTTACACTGAAAAATTAAAAGATTGACAAAAATAAACAGGATTTTAGTGGTCTACAGTAAAAGAACTGAACAGCTAAAAAAAATGCTCTCATGACAACCTAACTCCAACATTGTTATTTACTAGTAAAGAGAATTACGGTAGAATATGTAAAATATATCACTAGGTAATAGTTGAGATATTATCCTTGTTCAGGGTTCAGCAAGACATTGCAGAAACTCTGTTCACTCTTAAGTTCTGGTTAAAAAAATGCTATAGTTAGAGGTTGTCTATCAATCTAAGTCAGCTGAAACCTTCACAAAATGCTTACAAATTTGCAAGAATGAGAACACCACAATAAATGAAAGCATAATTAAAGCATAAAACTCAACATAAGGTATTCTAAAGATTCAACCTTAGCTCATCACCATGCATGTAAGGTAACGACCATAAATCAACTAGAGAGCTTTGGCAAGGAAGCTTTTTCTTAAATTCAAGCCCTACTGCTCTGCGACGGAGTCCATGAAGCTGTCACCTGGCCAACAAAAAAGCAATCACAGAATAATTCTGTGCCCTATATATAATTGCAATATCAGTTTACAGCAGGGGAAAAAAGGAGGGAAAAAATCAACAAAATTCAATGTGAACAAAAGGCTTGCCTTCTGGACCCAGAGTGATGTATAAATCATCACAAAAGCTTGGCCCTTACCAACACTGTTATGTACGCCTGTGAGACACGTGCTGCTTCTCTAATCCCTTCCTCTATTTCACCCACTTGCAAAGAATTTATGCAGTTCAAAGGCTTTTTTTTTTTTTTTAATCACCTCTAGCTAACATCAGAAGAATTCTGTAAAGAATTTTAAGACAGCAGAAGAAATAGGTGGAATACTGATGAAACAACAAATAACTGAATTTCACAGCCTGAATTTAGAAACTCAAATTATCCGGTCACTTCTGTGTCTCTTCAACTGATTAAATTATGAACAATCTGTGCTTTTGCTGTACCTCTCTCATCTCTTCATCCAGCTTGCGCTGCTCCAGAGCCTCTTTCTCAGCTCGTTTGCGATGTTCTTTTTCCACCTTTTCGTACTTTTTCCAGTAGAGAAGCATCTCCTTGGTAAGACGACGTGCCCGTGGCAGAGTTTCCTTACAGTTTTTCTGGGCCTGGATAGCAGCTCGACGTACCTCTCTCATGCACTGATGGGCAAGCTAGAGAGAAATACAGTTTTGGAAACAGTGGTAAAATAGGCAGATTTTAAAGAAAGACAGCAATAAATAACATCAAATTTAATTATAACCAAGTCTGATCCTTCAGAAGAGAAAAAAACTGTGATACATTACTCAGCAGTAATGCTGCCAAAATGGCATGAGAGAATATGAACTTCCAAAAAGCTCCTGAGATGGTGGAGAAGAGAAAACCTGAAGACAGCCTCAGCACAGCACGGTACTTAAAGGATTGATCTGGTGGTTGAAAGGGACTCAGGAGACTAGAGTTCAAGGCCTGCCTGCAACTCTGACTCACTGATTCTAGACATTTTTTTGGTGCTTCTTTTCTCACTGGTTCAATAAGGCTGCTGCAATAGCAGCATGGTGGAATGCAATTCCATTCACATTAATACACTGAAAAGCAAGGGAGTATCCTACAATTTTCCTACTATCTCATGAAGAAGCATAATTCAACGTGATTTTTTGTTCTAGTATGAATAAATTAATGCCATTGTCACAATGGTTAAAACAGTTGGGTTTGGTGTTTGTGACAGGTTTTTCTTCCTCCACTAAAATTTGCACATCGACAATTCTAACACACAGATTTCAAATGATCAAACAAAACGAAAGCAAAGAAACAAAAGTGGAATTTCAAAACTTCCAAGACTGCTGCATCACTCACTAAAATGCAATTTGTGATACTTACAAATACAATAATCACAGGCTATTTGCCCAGACATCAGAAAGAAAGCCAGTCTCTGCTACCGAAGGAGGACCACAGGAGAGAATGTACCTACAGCAAAATTTCTTATACATGCAGGTCCTGTTTTCTGCATCCCTTACACAGAAGATGCTCCCCTTCTTGCTAATGTATATACAGAATGGAAAATTTCCTACATCATCTTGTCTCTGATGATTCGCAGTCATATATTTGATTACCTTTTCATTAGCCATATAAATGAATCACACACTTGAGCCTAACACTTGAAAAATGCTCAGAAAGCCATTGCCAAGTGTTCCAAAAGTAAAGCCTTCTAGGTAGAAACAATGACACTTCTCAGAGAAGGCTCTGATGAGGAGATAAATTCCTTTTGCAATCACTTAAGCAGAAAGTTGTTCTATTTTTAATTTCAGCTCCTATATATATTTATGTAAATTAACACATTTAATATTCCAAGAGCCCCTATGATTTAAACAAGAATGCTTAAACCAGCAAATTCTAGCTAGTGGGTAGATGGGCAGTTCAAAAGCCAATAAAGTGTACTGAAGTAATTAATTTATTGTATCAAACATCAGTAAATTAAAAATGTACAAACTAAATCCTGCGAAAGCCAAAAAGATCTCTTGAAAGAAATTCATGTTGCTTGTTTCGTCTGTTGCTTATGAAACATGCCAAAGCGACATACCTACAAACCGAAAAGCCTTACATTAATTACAAATTAATTCTGTACAATGCTTTCTCCTATTCTGCCCTGCTAGTATAGTCATATTGTAAAAAAACAGAAGAAACAAAGAAGTTACAGTTTGCTTATTACATTCAGTACAAGTAACAGCATAAAGCTCAGCAACACTCACCTTTTTGCTGTTGGTTAAGAAAAGGTTGCGGGCTGAGGCTTTTTGCTTGTATGCCTATAAAAGAATACCACCTTAAAATTAGATAAAGGGTAATTGTTTCCCATTTTAAAAGACCACTATCCAGTCTTTAGCAGAAACATGTGCCAACTTCAGCCATGCACAGTATATAATTGTGTACAGGTACTGTAATTACTTTTTATTTTGACTGAAACAGCTTTTCACCCTTAATTACTGAAGGCATACGCAAATGTAATCCAACTCCTGAAGGAAGCATGTAACACACCTCCATTTTCAGGATCATTTCTCTACTGCAAAGCAGGGTTCTCCTATTCCACCATTATCACTGAAGTAAATGACAAAAATTTCTAGTTTCCCAAAGATGTTAAGAATTAATATAGATCCTATGTTCTTCATGTGATCAATAACAGTCTTTTGGAAAAATAAGGTCCGTCACAGTGCACATATCCTTTGCCTGGCTTCCAAGTTCATAAAGGGTGACACAGCCATCACTCATATTCAACTTCCTAGAATTCAAAGTCTGTTAACTGTGAACTCCAAAAAGCAGGTTGTAAGGCCCACTCTGGTCACATCTCAAAAAACCAGCAGCTGTGGACCCAGCTTTCTATTTCAAATGTGCCTGAAGCTTGTCCTGTAAATTACACAAACACTTATTCCTACACCTTTTCTGAAATGTTTCAAAACACACCCATGCTACAATGATTGAAACACTCCTTTCCTAAACTTTATGTAAAATCTACACATTGTTTGATCAGATAATCTACACTACCCTGTAGATTAGTAGGAGTAGCTTCTAGTTTACTGTACTATTCATAGAAAAAGCTTGGATAGCCAAATGAAAGCAGTGGCAAAGCACTGCATGATCCACTTAGTTCTTACTGGTGATAAGAAATTCAAACTACACTTTGCTTACAGATTACAGAACATCAGTTTGGTCATTAATGACCACCCGAAACATCAGGTTTTACTTCATTCCGTTCCAAGTGTCAACTCCCCACTAAGCTGATTTTCTATTTTGCTTTCCTGCTGTCATCACTGATCTAGTGTCATTGACCAAACTCACCTTTGGCAACTCCTTTTTAACAATGCTCAGCCACACTTTCCGCCGACGTGCGTTAAGTTGCTCAATAGTCAAATGCTTTTTCTTGGACCCAGGTGGTGGTGTATCATGAGAAAACTTGGCAAAAACTTTGGTCTGGTGATGGTGGCGTTGTGGTGACTCCTCTGAAGAGAGCTCTTCATCCCGTCTCCTCTTTTTCTTTACTTTTTTCAACTTGCCTGCATGGCAACAATTATCATAGAAATCAAATTCTTTTTCTATATTTTTTTGGAGATACATTTAGTCAGGATCTTTCCCAAGTAAACTATCCTAGTCAATTTATGGTGGAACCAACAAAAAAGCCAAACTTACCCACATTTGCCAACTCTGGTACCATCTATTTATCACATTAGATATTTCCTCACTACTTTATAATGGAAAGATTTTCCTGCTTAATAAATAAGTGTGGTGAAATGCACTTTTCCCACCCAGGGAAACTCGCCTTAGGAGTTAAAACGTCTGGGACCTGGTGCAAAGTTTCTTGTTTTGCAGCAAAATTCTACTTAAAGACATGTAAAGTTAAGAACATTAGCATTTGGCAGGCTAAGTCTCAAATCAAACTTCTCAGCAGTTCAAAGAGATTGGCATGTTACTGTGTATTACAGACATCAGCTTTCAGCAGAAATGGATGCAGGTATCAGATATTAAAAATATTCTTTGAATATGCAAAATCATGGATGCTACAAGATTAGTGGGAAAAAAAAAGACAGTTAAAGGAACTTGCAGAAAAATAGGAAGGAAGGAAGCCCAAAATAGCCCTGTTAAAACACAGCTCAAACTTAAGTACTTGCACTAGAGAGAACTCACCTTATGCTGACAGTTCACAGCCTTCTCTTCCTGCTTCCTTACATATATACAGCTGCTGCCAGCTCTATCAAGAAAGGAAACTCTACTTCCTGGCAAACATGCATCCAAGAAACTCCAGCTGAGAGGTTACAGAGTTAATTCTATTTTAACTCACACTGGACATCAATTCTGAGTTCCCTCTGATTTCCAGATAACACTCTCACTCCCTACCATTTCTTGTTCACTACGATTACATATTCAAGAGTAACTGCAGCAGGTACTACGTAAGTTCTTTTTCAAGGAACTATCATGTTTTCAAAAAAAACTGTGAGAAAACTGACCATGGTACCAATGGTATTTATGGATTCTGAAGCACTAAATAAAGCTGTAAGGTACTTAGTGCATAACTCTTTCATTGTAGATTCAGAGGTCTGCAAAGAAAATCTAAAGCCATGAACTCCCAATTCACACTCCCTTCTTTCACCCTAGCTTTCTAGAAGCCAGAAGATAAAGCACAGTATTTTCTGAAGATTTTTTTCTTTGACAGTCCTGGGTATTTTGATGCAAAACCCAAAAGTTTTGAACATTTATTTTTATTCAAAGGAAATCATGTCAGAAAGAAGTTTAATCACAGCAGCCATTTAAAAACACAAGGTTAGTGACTTTACCTTTTAATTTTTTCTCTTCTTTAAACTTCTTTTTCTTGGGTCCTAGCAGGTGGCGCTGCTGCTCGTAGTAAGGATCATGTGTAGACAGCAGTCCTGCACTGTAGTACTGATATTGCTGCAACTGAGGTGGATGTAAATGAGCACAGTAATGGAAAACAGACATAGCATATAACAGAGATCGCAGGTAAACAAGTTCAGATCTTGATCATAAATAATAGATCAGAAAACATGCACTTCTCCATAGTTAGTTTTGTTATCAAGCATCATACAGTGTCCAAAGCGAAACAACTGCTCCTAGGGCTGGCCTCAAAGATCTTTCTACGCTGGGAGTGAAGCCCACCCAGTTAAGTAAGATGCGAAGACCCAGCAGTGAAGCCTACACTTTCAAAACATAACTGCTCTATCTTTTCCAGTGATCTTTTCCAGCAAGACAGCACATTACATGAAGTGGTCCAGTTACGGACCTCCTATTTGTTTTGCTTGTATTCCCAAATTACATACATGTTCTACTTTATCATTCCAAAGGATGTAAAAGTACAGGTTTAGATAAAAGGCATTTAAAAGATTTCCACAAGGAGAAACAACATGAACATTCAGATTGCCAAGTAAAAATATATCTTCCCCAGCATTTTTTCCCTAAATTATCAAAAAGGTCAATATATTCCAAGCATTATTCAACTAAAGTATTAAAGAACTATACTCAAGTTACGTATAAACAGTCAAATCAAACACAGTACAGATCAAAAATTAACTCTTTAAAACCTAAGCATATTATTAAGTTAATAAAAGATTTTTGAAAGGCAAGAACATCAGCATAAACCAACTTTTTTTGGATAGATGGGTTTCTACACATGCCCCCCCATAACTGTGTACTGCTGATCTGACAATACCCTGGTTATTTCCACTGGATATTATTTCTTACTAGTCTGGAAATAAATATTTGTGTAAAATCTAACAAAAGTTATGACCTGTGTAAAAATTGGGTGTATGAATATTTGTGTAGTTATGCAGTATTTCAAGAAGCTAACAAAATCCCAGTTTAGAACTTGACAAGTAAACAAAGGAAAGAAGTGGACTGAAGCAAAGACCTGGGTGGGCAAATATTTCTTTACTCTTCTGGAGGAATTTCAAAAGAAAATGAAACAAGAAGACAAATTTTAATTTCAGACACATCCTCTGATAGCAGAATAGGATGACTTCCTTTATCTGAGACTACTTTCTGGTGCAATTCAAAACAGCAGTGAAAATAATTTCTGCAAAAGCCCTTATAATTTGAAGAAATGTATTATCAGAATCAAAACAGTCACAGAATTTGGCCTAATATTAATAAAAATGCAGAAACACTTCAGACTATTTTCTTATAAGAAGGGAAAAAAAGAGTATAAGAATAAAATCCAAAATAAAAAAAGAAAGGTAAGAAAGAAAAAAAAAGAGTCATGTAAAATCTCAAAGAATGACAGAAAACAATAAGGAAGAAAACTAGGAACTCCCTTTCAAGGTAAACTTCGCCTGACTACTCATCACCTCAATGACGATGCAAGTATACTGCTTTAGGTTTAAATGCACAATTTTAGTCTTGAACAGCAGCTACTACCTGTATTGGAATTTAACCCACAGCACCTCAGTTTTCACATATATGATCCAAATCTTTCATTCTAGCATCCTGTATTTGCTCCAGTGACTGGGACAGAGCATTGTGGAAGCTATAACACGTGCCACTACCAGCTACATAATTATTGAGAGATACTCAGCATAAGGCACCAACAGCTTTTCAGCCGGTATGTAATTAAGTAACCCTTGTGTGAAACTGCTGTTAGATTGTGCCAGTCTACCAAACAACAGGATATTTTCCAGTCCACAAAATATTACGCTTTTTGATAAAAATATAAGAGCAGTTAAATTAACGCAGGTAAAGGAAAGAATAAAAACCAAGGAAACGTAAAAATTCTGGACTTTTACCTCTTTGTCTTTGCTATATTTACTTTGATGCAGTTTCTTATATTTGTGTAATCGCAGCATATTGTGAAGTTCCTCCCTTGAAAGAGAAAACTCTTCTTCCTCCTCTCCATCCTCATCACTTAGTGAATCTGTGTCACTGGAGTCATCACTCAGAAGGATACTCTAACAAGAATAAAGGGAAACTAATTTAACAATCACAAGTCCCTATACCTAATTGCTTTGCAAAGCGCTCTTGATCCTTTACATAATAAAGGGTTGTGGGCCTGGCCCAACAACAATACTTAGCATTTACAAAGTCTCTTCCATCTGAAACACCTCAAATGGAAAACCGTTTTCTGAGGTACAGAACTGTGTAGCAGTCAATCCAATACACATTTTCTGCTTTGGAGGGTGGCAGCTTTCTGTTCCTGGTCATAGTTAAGTCATTTTAGAATCCACTTTGTTTGTGGCCTCAGAAAAGCAGCAGTGAGAAAACACAGGATACCAGTAGGGGCATTTGTGATGTGTGATTGCAGGTGCTTTCCTATCCCATTTGTAGTTGTTCGTGCTATTCCACCACTTCCACCCGCACCAGTTGTGTCAGGTTTGGCTCTTGTCTGACCTCTTGGCAACCTGTTTTTGCTAACCAGAGAAGGCTACAGTATAAAGAAAATGCAAAGATGGCATAAAGCCACCTTTACACTCTCTCCTTCCATCCTCATTTGGACCTTGTACCGAGTCCATCTTAGAAACAAATTTTCAGCTGAGTCCCAAATGTCCATTTAATATATTTCACAATAGATCATTTTAGTTTCGACAGTGTCTAAAATTACTTCGTATTTCTGAATGTATACTCACTGAAATTTAACTAAAATTCTGCTGCTCACCAGAATTGAAATGCCTGCTGTGCATTTTGCCACATGACGAAAATGAAAGCCTCAAATCTACAAAGACTATAATTCTATTTTGTTCTACCCACAGTCTAATACAGTATTCCTTATCAGCTATCACATACTCTTCTTTCTTCCGATTTCCAAGATGAGAAGCTTCTGTAGATTGTATTTTTTGCTTTGGTAAGTGTTTTTTCTTAATGTAAAAAAAACCCCACCAAATTGAAAAAATCTCCATTCCTTATGCCTCCTTTTCAGTGTGAGCTTTTGTATCAATTAAATTGATATGATTTAGGGCAGCTCTTAAAACACGTTAGTCCAGCTTTCTGAACTCTCAGTAGTATGTGTAAAGTAAAATTAAATGGACTTCTGAGATGAGAACAAACTTACTGTATTTGGAAATCGTATTTGTGGTAATTTGTGATAATGCTCTGACCAGCGCTCAACTTACTTTCTTGTTGTCATCTGCTTGCTTACATGTTTCTACACCATGACCTAGGTCAGATGACAAGATGGAATCACTCACCACTGTCTACAGGGTGTTGACTGGAACTCTACTCACAGATTCATGATAGCTGCATTTCCTCCCAATATTCTTACCTTCAGCCACTTTCTGCTTTTCTTCAGTTTGGAGAAGTTATACAAGCTCCCTTTTTCAGACTTTGGTTCTGTTTAGAGAAAAAGTAAAAATAAAGCTCTTAAGAAATAATGCTTTTCCCAGTTTATCCCAAACAAAGCAGAGCTTCAAGCTAGCACATGCCTACCTGGCTGCAGTACTCCATTCAGGGAATGTGTGTTCAGCATCCCAGAATTCCCTGCTCCAGAAGACTCCCCAAGCAAAGAGTTCGGAGGCTCTTCCTTAACCTGCATCAGGGGATCCCCAGACTGAGGCAGCAAAGGATTGTCATCCAATCCATCTTCACTTTCATCGCTGCAAGAAGATAGGCAATACGGTGACAATGAAAGGAAAATATTCAAAAGAGGAAATGCCTGTGCAACTTTCATGCATGTGGCCATTTGTCTAAAGGTTTGAGAACTGAGACAGCTTTAGATGTAATTTTATGCATTAGAAATATTGCTGTTAATAATTTCCTGTTAACCTCTCAGCAGTAGTTAATCATCAGACCAGCCTGGCTATGCTATCAACCAGCACCTTCAGTCTTTAACTAGGTATTTAATTTGAAAAGCATGAACTAAGCAAGAAATTAGTATCAAGTCAAACCAAAGCACAACATTCTCATCCTCAGCACTACTGTACATGTGAGAAACACAATGCTATACTTTTTCTGCTACTTGGGTGGATCTTACTACATGCTAATAAGTATACCTGTTCTCTGTTACCCATACAGTTATCAGTTGTGTAACCCTACAATTCCAAACCATGGATGAAATTAAACGTAAATTGTTTTGGGACAGAAACATACCTTGATGACTCACTTCTCACTGCTACAACTTACATATAAATTCTGCAGCTGACAACAGTCTTTGCATTTCACTTACAGCTACAGGCCACGTCCCTGAAAAATCAACTTGGTGCTTCTTCACCCTACTTTTTGCAGACAAAGTTTTGGGCACTCAGCTACAAAAAAGAGCTTTAAAACATTGTGCTAATTTGTACGTGAGCTGGCAGCACACTGAATTGTCAGCATGAGCTAACAGAAGCACAGTGCAAAATCTTTAAAGGAGAAGAGTTTATATTGAACAAGTCACTACTAAATCCTTAATATGGTGTTGCCTGGGAACAATATAACAAAAATGCTTGTCTTTCCTTGGTATTCTCAAGGGAAAATGGAAAAGGTTTTAGTACCTGGATATACTCCTGTTAAAGATGGCTGATGTCTGTCGTAAAAACTGATCCAGTTGCAGAGCTTTCTCCAGGTATTGCAGATAGAGGGGTTTTGCCAGCTCTGAGCAGCTGCCATCCTCCCTGGCACCCAGCTCTGAGGCCATAGAACAAACTTCTCCTCATGCAGAGGAGCCTCTGAACACACAGCTGTTAAGAAGAAACAACAGTCAGTACCACCACTACCACCTCTGAAAGGAAAGCAGGTGAGCAGGCAAGTCTACTGCATGCTACACCAAATGCTAATATTTCACAGAACACATAACTGAGGTAGTTCTGGGCAAAAAGCTTGAGTTGCAATTAATAGGTATATTAAACAACAAACAAACAAAAACAGACAAAAAAAAACCCACAGAAATTCACACTAAACCTTCCACCACAATATTACCATAGCCAAAAACTAGATTCTTAAGTTTTCTGGTTTATGACTTGACGGATGTCATTGATAGGAATGAGCACTGCGCTGACCTAGTATGACAATCCAAGTGGTGACATGAAATGCAAAGTACAAATGAAGCCAGTCCTTGAACATCTAAAGTAAACTTTCATCATGATTAAAGATAACATGTTTAACTCTGCACAGAGGGCAGCCGTGTATTGTGAAAGCTGCACGAAAACAATTACATCAAATATAAATTTACTCCAAAGGGAAGAACTACTGAAAATATTATTCTGTTGTTTTTACTATGCACTTCACAGCTGTAGTCTACAGTATACCTGTAAAACCTTTCCTTTACTTTAAAGCAATGCTTCTCTGACAGCACCCAGACACAGCTGTTACTCGTTGACAAACAAGCTACAAATACTTGACCAAAAAAAACTTCCATTATAAAATTCAGTGTATATTTATTAAAGTAACATAATTAGCAATTTATTACATACTTTTTATATTTAGAAATTTAGAACATACCCTGTTTTTTCAACCAGTAAAACCAGCCCAGTTGATTTTAATTTTTTAATTTGTTCTCAGCATTTTAGAGTCTTAAAAAACCAAACACATCCCCCCTGCAATATTTGCATAATACATAAAACCAATGCTATCAAGATGTTTTATTACTGTCAACTGCAGTTTTATTTTCTTTTAACTACAAAAGATGTCATAACCACTGTTACAGTAATAGCTCTGTCAACTGGAATTTTTCTTTGATTACAAAAGGTGCCATCATTGTTATAACAACAGGGAGAAAGATAATTTAAAATTATTTCCAAAGTCACAGTTGTCACTGTGTACATGAAAGTGTTGTCAATATCCTAAATAAGACAATATTTGCTAATAAATAAATGCCTTAAGCTTTTGCTTCCGGTAGAAGACAAAAGTAAAACCAGTCAGCTTCGAAAGACTTAGATTAATTGTTCTTCTGAAGGTTTCTTCTGGTTTTCTTCTTCACATTTGTTCAATTATTAAATTGTTAAGCTTATATAAATGAAAACACAGACTGAGTATCTGGTCTTCAAATTGTTCTCTCTTCACATACACAGTCCAAAACCCAGCATCTAACTTTTTCCAAGTCTTTCACCCTCAAAAATTACAGAACAGAATCAGAACTTCCAAAGTTACAAAAAACTAAGGTAAGTGATTACCATCTTGAGACTAATGGCTGTGGTTGAACAAGAGCAAATTTTATTATTTCTTAATAAACACCTGGCCTTGAGTTAACGTCTTGACCCATACAGAATAAACCACAGCGTGCCTGAAATTGTGAGACAGGATAACAGCCTTCATTTAAAAAATATTTGCAGACTGAAGCTATCTACGTTCAGCTTTCTATATGCTATACCTTCGTAAACCTGACAGCAATGGAATGATTGACCTCTGTTACCAAATACTCATTTCCAAAAGAAGAT